AGATTTAAATCCAGTGCATGTAACTATATCACATATACGTTCTGTTAGCCAATTTCCGATCTGACAGCATCGATATTCCTTTATGGGACCTATTTAGAGTGTCTTTTTGCAACGTCGAGCAACACCGCCCGCGCCCTCATCTCGTAAAAATATTCACTTATTACTACAATCACCATCACCCCCACTCAATATCTCTGCTCATTTGCACGCAAAATGGGCTTACTTGGGATAATATTAAGTTCCACCGTGTCGTCTTCACTGCCATACTACGTGCCATTTCTTCTTGCGAGACTGCTCTACCTCGTCAACACAAGGTAAGCATATTCCGTGAACTTTCATCCAGGATACGCTCTGACTCCCCGCGACCCAGCACCTCCCACTGCACTCACACGGACAGCCCACATGGGAAATATGGTGATGACCACGAAGCTGACTCGTTGCTTTATCAGCCATCTCGGCTTCTACTCATTAGCATCATGAATCATTGCCATTAATTCAACGCTACTCCTTCTCTCTAGTTCCTCGCACACCATCCGCCATTCCCCTCGCTTTGTTCGTCTTCATAAACATAATTTCCCCATTTGCCTGAGTCAAGTCCAGATGGCAGTGTCACAGTGGCTGAACCAGGGGCACTGTGTCATCACTCTTCTGGGTTTCTGCTCATCATGGTCCCTTCTCCTTCTTTCATTATGCTCACATGGATGATAGATCTCGAATTGATTTGATGGTTGTGAAATCCTTGGGGCTATCAGTTGTCTGAGCTCAGATACACGGCTGCTTTGACTTTCCTGCTTCACAGAACTTTTGCATCCCGTTCTACATGTACGGCCCAGATAGATGACTGCACACTTTTTTGTGCTCAGACAAGTGGTGCCTTGGTGATACTTTATCAGGTGCGCTTACTCCCCGCTCAGCTCATCACATCTCCTTACCATGCGCATCTGTGATAGGGGTAAATACTCGGGCCATAAGTTTTCTAATTCAATCATACACTGTATCGTTGAATCATGCTTGAAACAAGAACATTGTTGTCGCAGACGTGACTATGTGAAAGTGGATTCAATCAGATGGTGGGCACCCAATTAATTGACTGGGGTTTCCAGGACATCGACGCCCTGCTTCTACCCTTCACACATGATTCGGCACTCCTCTGCGGCCCAGATGGATGACAAAGGTGGCCTTGCCCTCCCGTCAAGTTGTGCGTCTAATCGGAGCCTTATCTAGCCTATCTGATCATCCTGCTCTTCTGATTCATTGTGCGCCCATAGACTTCGTCCTCCATCCGGCCATAATCGAACATTCAAGCTTCATATCTAAGCCTTCCCTTCATACAAAGAAACTTCCCGCCATCGATGTACCTCGTGTCCCCATCGATACCTAAAATCGTCGATCCAGATAGACACATGAAGCGACGCATTGTCGTTCTGATCATAGATCATCTGCTGGCTCTAGGGTCAGTGTCAATGATGGGTATATGTATGTACGTATCTCGTTTGGTGCTTTACTCTGACAGTCATCCTTGGCGGGATAAACTCCAGCAGATCTTGCAAGGACACAGACCCAACGCATAGTTTGCAGTCGCATAGGCAGAATACTATGATGGTGCGGCTCCGATCAACGTGTGTATGGATGCAATTCCAGAATATCGTGGTCGATGTCATTCATAGTTAGCTCTGATTCTCTAATTCTCTACTCCCCGCTCAACATACCTTATCTCTTTGCCACGCTCGTTCGTGATAGACCGCGCGATTCAATCCTGTTCCTTTTCCGTGGCCCGGATAGATGAAACCGCATATGAGACTAATGAACTATCAGCTATGTGTGCTCAGACAACGGAACTCCGCAAACACGAGAATCAGCTGTCTGGGAATCGACTGGATTGATTTCTAGACACTCCAGATAATTTCAGCTTGCCACTTGGTACAGGTGTGGACGGGCGGCTCACTGACTTCTAGCAGTGATACAATGAGAAATGGGTTTGTCTACATAAACCTCGTCTCAAATATACTTCGAAACAGCATAACTAAAATAAATACTACGACGGATCATCGACCGAATATCTCCTCCAAGCAGAATACGCGACAAGCACTTCTCTACACAACACTGCTAGTTGGTACATGTACACGATCCTGGAAGACAATCGAAATCATGCTGATTTCTGCGTCGGATTCAGCTACGAGCTTAGCGTGATATTCTCGAACGCCAAGGATGAGGCGTGGACCCAGCACAAACATCTGTACGACCAATAAAATTCGAAGAACACCACCGACTACCTGAGCTGCCATAGAATTTGAATTCTGCAGAAATGATGAGTAGCAATTACGAGCGGATGTCAGTGACAGGTCGGCGCACCACGAACTCTGGAGAGATGCAAGCAAGCTGGAGGCAAGAGACACAAACAAAGCTAGCATGTGCGGAATTTAGCAGAAAACGACAGCCACATTCACATTACAAGCTCACCATGCAAAATAAAGCACGTGGGATTTTATAAGCACTCTGAAACAGTCCCCGATGGTCGATCCTGTCGATGGGCCGAGTCGTCGCAGGTCACGGAAGTGTTTCACAGCAATCCAGACCAAAAGACCCAGTGCGAGGACCTCCCAAACAGTGTTGAGCATCCAAACCGTTGCGGTCAGAAGCTGATCGTGCCCCTCAAATTCACTATCGCATATATGCATGCCTGATAGTATCAGCTCCTCTGGTGTTCGTCCAATGAGTTGTGTTCTTTTAAGTCATCAAGTAAAGCTTACCCACTACAATTTCCGTGAGTCCCATTGCCGTGATTACTCCGCAGGTGATGTTTACAGCCAAGAAGACAACCACAAGGAGGATGATCATGATTCTGGATCTCTGATACATGGCATATAACCGAGCGATCATGATGACTTGCATTGCGTTTCAGTCGAGTCAATATTAATGAGGTATTGCAGCTGAGAACTGACCGCCCAACATGGCAGGTACGACCACAATTATCACATTTATTGAGTTGAACAGAATAGTGCCTGAAATACCTGATAAGTGATCGCCCTCGTCCTAGGACCAAACACTCCGACTCACATCTATCGAGTCATTATGTTGAACCAGGTTCAATAGTCAGGATCACACTCACCCCTACAAATGAATGTATCCATTAATATATCGGATGGGAATGTGACGGTTGCGGAATACATACTGCATCTGTCAGCGAGACCAATGGCATATCTCCTGTGTGCCGCTGGTCAGAAGAATCGAACAGTGTATATGAGACATACCCAGAAAATCGGCACTGATTATGGTCAGAGATGAGCTGTTAGCATATGCCAATTTGTTGGCCACAACACATACACAGAATATGGTAGTCCAATATAGCGTATCTAGAACGTTTTAGAATCAGCACAACCACGCTATAGCATGACATATGGTACGAACAACGAGATACAGCACAGTCATCAGAGACCAGCGTTGCCTCTGCCCCAAATTCATTGTATTCCTTTGCTTTTCTTCTGATATGGGACTCCGTCACTCACCCAGATCAGTTCAATCTATGACACCATTCTTAGCAAGTTGGCTGATCCGTTGATAACATCGACTTACCTCTTGTCCGAGTGTTAGGACTGGATATATCATGAGAATATCGGTGGTTTTCGAATACTGTCCTGCTCACCCCAATCATATACGACCACGACGCTGGCGGCAACTGTGAAATGACAAGTCATTGTTAGATCGAGACATCACCGACTGATGCGACGAACCCATCCAATAGCTGAAAGAAATATTCAAACTGATTATCGGCCACCAATTGGGATCATTTGAGACTATGGTCATATTCGAGAGATGGTGTGAGCGAGTGGGGGATGTTGGGGGTTATAACGATCTGATGTTCGTGCTAGATATACCGCCGTTCAGCGCTTGTATCGCCCAAATCGGCATGATTCAAGTAAGTATTGCGATGCGAAATCAAGAAAATAGTCAAAGTGTTAGATTAATGAATCAAAGTAGACTTTGATTTGGTTTCTGGTACCCTGTTATCATTCGGGCCTGCTACCCGGTTCCTTTGAACAGCTTCAAACGTTGTACACCCATTGTACATATCCTAAACCCTGTGCCCGGATAAGTGGACCCAAGGGAATTAGCCACCAGGAGTGCTCTCTTGGGGTGTACACATATGTGCGAGTCTCCGAACTTGGCCTCAATTACCACAGATGGATATTAGAAGGAGAGTATTGCATAGTCTACTACCTCGTCGTTTTGCTGGAAGGCTGCACCGAAGGCATTCATTATCGTACCGGGTATTTTAAAATTTTGTTCCCCCGTAAATCAGGCTGTGTAGATCAGTGTACACCAGTAGCTCGATATTGCCGATCCTTCGGACTTACTGTTGGTATTGGTATATCCACGAATAACCGGCTGCAAGAAGCACAGCAACGAAAGTGCAGGCGCTGGGTTGGTCTGGGTTTGAAATTCGAAGGAACCCGAATGATGTCACACGAACTCTATACGCTACGATATACGACTTCCCGCCATACAATTGCACTCTCCGTTCACCTGCTCCACAAGCCGTTTACCCCATTCGTACCCGAGGCTCCACGGGTACATAACGTTGCTCATCAACATTAATGTCAACGTTCACATCCAGAACGTTTTAATTGTTACACAGCGCAATGCCTCAGAATACAACGTGATACGGTAATGCGGAACAATTGAAAGATGTCTCGACAAATTTCCAACGCATGTGAATACCTTCTTTGAAAAATGCACGGTGGGGTTTTTCCCGGGAAGTTATTGCAATTCCTTTACAAATACTGTAAAATGCCCATTTCAGGTACACACAATGGATTCTCCGAATTCAGCATGTACAGCCTTGCATCACGCTCGCCTTCGAGTTTGAAGATGCATATATTGAGCAGCCCAGGTATCGACATGGCGGGCAATACATATAAGTACTTACAAATGAACGGTATCAGCGACCGTAAGCTCTGCTGAGCCTGCTCTGGACAGGGATATCACTGTGACGCTTTTCCTCAGTTCATCACCTCAGCCGAGTTTTTTGCAGCGCCCAGCATCCAAATCTGCCCAGTCCATATGAACAGCTGCATACCCCACAACCTGAAGTATCGTGTGCAACATACAGTTTCAAGAATTTTGATTGTAACATGAACATCGTGACGGACATCTGTGGTGGCGCTACTAGTACATTTAGTGCCAACAATTAAGTAAAAACATCATGACCAGAACCATGTGCATAACACGCCGGTGCTCAGCACAGCTGCACCGACAACAGAAACAACTGAAAGCGAATTCCTCAGGCCAGCACCAATGTCCCCTTTACTCGTGCTCCCAGCTCCCATGTAGCTCCCGACATCCCATTCGAGGTTGCCAGCACACTCGGGTCAACCCTTGCTGTATTTGCTGTCTTCGTGACCGCCGTGGTAGAGAATGTCTGGGTGGAGGGGTTCCCTGACTCTGCATATGCGTTGGAGGAGAGGAAGACGAGTGCGGCGCCAGGGGCGGGGACAGTCACTTGACAGGTATTGACGACTGATCGCAGTTAATTGTCTGCACGTTTTCTGAGCCCGTTAGGCGCCCATCAGACTCGAAGGTCCCGCCGAAGGTCTGAAACAGACATGAGCAAACGAAAAAAAATGGTGACCAGACAAACCTGGCCTGCCCACGTAATGTTGGACTTCTCTGACACGGAAGGTGCCACTAGATATCTAAGATGGGAATTAGTTTAGCGAGTAGTGATACTATGGAACACGTACTTGACTTGTATTTGTGCAGGCGTGGCGTTGCTCTGCCAATTGCCGAGCCGCCTATGGAAATTGTTGTTGTATAATCGCTCGCACCGCTCGGATCTGATACGTAATTGAGTAGTACAAGGCGC